TTTACCCACTGGCTGCCCCAGAAACGGTTATGATAAATTCTCAGGGAACCCCAACCAGAGCCTCGATTCAGCTTTTCTTCTCCTGGGACCTTCATGTAACATGTGGGATTGACATTTCTAAGTTTCAGCCTGCTATTTGGTTTCTGAAAATATGTTGTTAGAAATATGGACAAGGGTATTAATAGTAAAACTATTATACAAAGAAGAGCAAAGGAATGATTCATCCAAAGTTAATCAGAAGTCAGGGTGGTGATTACCTCTGTGATGGGGAGATAAGTAATCGGTGCTGGGTGAAATACTGTCAGCTTCTAAGGTTTAGGTAATGTTATAAAAAAAAAAAGTGGCCGGGTGCAGTGGCTCATGCCTATAATCCCAACACTTTGGGAGGTCAAGGTGGGAGAATCACTTGAGCCCAGGAGGTTGAGACCAGCCCCGGCAACATAGCAAGGCAGATAGTGCACACCTGTGGTCCCAGCTACTCAAGAGGCTGAGGTGGGAGGACTGCCTGAGCCTGGGAGTGCAAGCGAGGCTGCACTGAGCCATGATGACACCACTGTACTCCAGCCTAGGTGAAAGAGCGAGACCCTGCCTCAAAACAAATGAAACAAACAAACAAAAAAAGCCAGAGGGATGGGGGAGGATTGCCTGTACAATGAGATTTGAAAGTCTTTTTTTTTTTTTTTGAGATAGGATCTCACTCTGTCAACCAAGCTGGAGTGCAATGGCATGATCCTGCTACCTCCACCACCCAGGCTTAAGCGGTCCTCCCATCTCAGCCTCCATGTGCCACAACACCCAGCCAATTTCTGTATTTTGTAAAGACGGGGTTTCGCCATGTAACTCAGGCTGGTTTCAAACTCCTGAGCTCAGGCAATCCACCCACCTCGGCCTCCCAAAGTGCTGGGATTCCAGTTGTGAGCCACCATGCCCAGCCCAAACATTCTTTAAAGTCCACATACCCTGAACTCTCAAGGCTCCTCCAGTTCAGCCATCAAAAGGTTTCTTCTCCAGAAGGTTACTGCTTAGCGAAGGTTTGGGGGTTTAGTTTCCCTGGCCTGTTAGTGTCAGTGTAGGGCACAGCGGGAGTTCATAGAAAATTCCCTGAATGCCCTGGATCAGGGGTACTAGGATGCCAGGCAAAGTTGGGGAACAGGACAGTGGGACTACAAGGGAAGTGGATACCACATCCCTCCACTGCTCAGCTCTGGCTCTGGCTCATGCTGCAGGAGGGACTCACCTAACGGCCTTAACTCGGTGCCACCGACCATCGTTGAAGGAGCCATTCACCATGATGGATGCCACACCACTGCCCAGGTTATAGCTAAGGCGTTGAAGAAGAAGAAGAGAACATAATAAAACACTGAGGCATAGGCAGACACGGTTCATAGATGATTCTCAGGGCAAAAGTTCTTTGCAACTCAGAGTGCAGTTTTCTTAACAGAAAACAAGAGTGTTATAAAAGTTGGTGGGTTTCCAGGCCGGTTCATGTAATTAAAAATTATCGGACTTTTAAATTATGGTAAAATATACATAACATAACCGTGGCCATCGTAACCATTTTTAAGCATATGGTGCTGTAGCATTAAGTACACATTCATATTGTTGGGCTGGCAATCTCCAAAACTCATCTTACAAAACAAAAGCATTGTATTAAATAATAACCCCTCATTCTTCCCTCCCCTTAGCCCCTGACAATCAGCCTTCTACTTTCTGACTCTATGGATTTGATTCTTCTTCATACCTCATATGAGAGGCATCATAGAGTATTTGTCTTTTTGGGACTGTGTGACTGGCTTACTTCATTTAGCATAATGTTGTCAAGATTGTTTTTTAATGCCCTCATGTAAGGCAACATCAGTACTAGAGTATCAGGAATAACAAGAAGGGCTTTATCATGTGTAATATTTTACACTGTGTTACGATGATGGTCTGCCCCCTCCCTCCACCCGCCAAATTCATGTCTACCCAGAGCCTCAGAATGTAACCTTATTTGAAAATAGGGTCTTTGCAGATTCATTAGTTAAGATGAAGTCATACTGGATTAGGGCAGCCATGGATCCAATATGACTGGTATCTTTATGAGAAGAGATTTGGACATGGAGCCAGAGACACACAGAGACAGGGAACACCATGGGAAGATGGAGGCAGGCACTGCAGTGTGGCATCTCCAAGCCAAGGAACGCCAAGGGCTGCCAGCCACCACCAGAACCTGGGGGACAGGCATGGAGCCGATTCTCCCTGAGACCCTCTAGAAGAAGCGAACCCTAGCACTGCATGATGGATTTCTAGCCTTCAGAACCGCGAGAGAGCCCATTTCTATTGTTTTAAGCCACCTAATTTATGGTCATTACCAGAGCCCTAAGAAATGAATACATCTGTTTTCACTTTTTGTTTTTTTTAAACTGAACATTGAAGAGTAGGGTGAGCCCCAGAGAGATTAAGGGAATTTGCCTAAAATCACAAACCTAATGTAGAACTTGAACTTGGTGTATCCTCTGTCCTCATCCCATTTAACTCTGCTATCAGGTTTCTCTAGTGGCTTCCTATTTTCTATTTCAGTTCCCAGACACCCTGGTACCATAAGGGTTTCAGAAAACATGAACATGTCATTACCAGAGAGAAATATCACCCTTAATCCAGTGTTCATTCAATTATTCTAATTAAATTTAATTCAACAAATATTTAGTGAGTGACTACTCTAGCCTGGGCACTGAGCCAACTGCCCAGACTTTCCCTGGATAATACAACAAAGCCTAGGCCACCAAGCTTTTGAAGGGAAGTATGTTCCACCTGGGATACTCCCTCCTCATTCTGTAAGAGGACATATCTCTCCTTCACCTCATTGCCCAAGATAGAGGGATGTCGAGAGAAAACCCGGATGAGTTACCAGGCACTCGCATGTACTCATTCTGAGAAAACAGCAAGAATAGGAAGTGCTTGGCTTTCTGCAAAGAAAGCACCATATGTCATTCCTTTGATAATGGAGGCTCAAAGAACTCACCCAGCCCATTGACATTTAACCAAGAATAGGACTTGGGGTGACTCGACAAACACTGGGACAAAGCTGCCACTCTGACCCTGAAAAGTCCACTGTTTTCTAATGAATTTTCCCACATCAAGTATCTCCTTGTATAAAGCAGTCTGGCGGCGGAATTTTGAGATTTCATGATTTGGTGGCTAAATACTTCTTGAATGAATAGGAAGTAGGGCGAGTTGCTGGTGGGCAGAAACTATCTATGGCCATTCTGAGAGGCGGCATGGGGTGACAGAAAGAGCATGGACACTCACATTCAATGGACATGGCTTGATCCCCAGACTCGCTAGCTAACAGCTCTGTGACCTTGGGCAACTTGTTTCATTTCTCTGAGCCTAAATATTCTCATCTGTCAAACAGGGATAATAATTCCTTCCCTGAAGAATCCTAGGGAATGCTAAGTAACATGACATATGTAGGAAGCACTGCACATCATAGGAGCCAAACGAATAATTCTGCCACTCCAAACAGAGGCAGCACTTAGTGCAGCTTGGATATGGGGTTGACAATGCACCCCAAGGAACTGGTAGGAAGGAGAAAGTTGCCACCAAGGCTTGAATGTGTCACATCTCTCCTAGAAGACTAGCCACGTGGGAAAGTAAGCCAACAAGCTGTCAATATATAACCAAAGCAGTCCGGAACACCCAGATCTCAGAATCAAGGTGACCGGGCTGTGTAACTGCAGGGAGGCTGGACTGCAACATGATTGTGGTGCAGTGAATGAAAACCTTTTCAGTTGTCTAAGAGCCCATCTAGACAAATGGTGCATGCGCTTCCTTCTGTTCTCCAACCCGACAACTCTCCTGTTCAGGCCAAGAGCCAGAATGTGCTCTAGGGAGTCAACCGTGAATCTGGCAGATGGGAATCCAGCCATCACTGCAGGAGGGGTCAACTCAGTTGGCTTCTCCATGGCCTGGTTCCCCAATCCCCCAATTCCATCTGACTTCAGACCCTCCAAAGAACCTCCCACTTCTCCTGACATGCTGATACTCACCCTGGAAAAGCTCCCTCATGTATATAATCATAAATGACCAACAATAGTGGTTACCTTCACTGGGAGAAGAATGAGGGAGCATTTTTGGGTGATGGACATGTTCTATGTCTTGTTCTGAGTGACAGTGAATCAGTGTTTACATATTCTAAATGTGTCAAGCTCTACACTGAACAAGCGTGCATGGCAGGAAGGCATGCCTCAGTATAAAAATGTAGAGACAGATATAAGAATGTTTATGTCTAACTTCTCTACCCATGTCTTGGGAACCTGGCTGCCATGATGGATTATTCTGAGCCGCTCAGCTTGGTGTGCACTAGAGGCTGTGAGCCAGAGCACCAAGGTGGGCCACTCGGAAATATCTTCAGGTGAGGCCTTTTGGAAACCACTCGGCCACCTTCCTGTTTTCCTGTGGTGACACTTTTAATCATGTCCCCTTTAAACTGTAGCACAAAGCACTTTACTAATGTCAAGTCTCTTCCCCCTCTTCACTGCATGAAGATGTGATGAGGTGAAACTAAGTGGGCAATGTTCAGTGTGAACGGTCAAGCAATGTTCACAAACCCCGCCGGTGGTAGGTTTTATGCCCCACGTACAATCACAAAACAAAATGAAACCAAACAAAAATAAAACAGAAAACAGAAAAATACACTCATTTTCACCGAGCACTTTGATTTCCTTTTTTTCTGCTAAATCTTGCCCCAAAACTATAAATATATATACATACATACATTTTTAGAATCCCATCGCTTTTCCCTATTCTATGGCAGAAAGGCTTTGAGCACTAAATTAGCCAAAGAACCAGCATTTAGGTGAAGAAAGTCAGGAAAGTTGAGACTGTATTTTATTATCTTAGGATTCCTCTTCATCTGCTTTCAGCCTGGATCAAACACTGAAACCTCAAGAACAATTTGTCTGCTCTGTAGAAAGATTCACTCTCCAGACTGCACAGATCTGTGCTCCTCAGGGGCAGGGCCCATGACTTATTAAAAATAACAGTAACAATAATAAAAATAAGAACTACGTTTTAATAATAACTACATGTTCTCTCTCTGAAGTAAAGGCTTCTAAGACTCAGAAAATGCTTGAGCAAGGATCATAACTTTTCTTATCATTAATTAGCTATGTACGAAGCACTGCACATCATAGGAGCCAAACGAATAATCCCACCACTCCTAACAGAGGCAGCACTTAGTGCAGCTTGGATACAGGGTTGACAATGCACCCCAAGGAACTGGTAGGAAGGAGAAAGTTGCCCCGCATTGAACCCCTTACATGAATTCATTCATTTAATCTTTACAGAGAACCCTGTCGTTTTGCAAGGAGGGGACAGAGGCTGAGATTTAGGTAACTTGCATGAGCCCACATAGGGATCAGGCGTGTGTGATTCCAAAGCCACTTCAGACCCTGTTTCACAGGGTATGGGTCCTGGAACCACCCGGGTGCTTGTTTCTAATCAGACCCCGGTGCCCACCACATCTATTGCATCAGAATCTCAGGGGGCAAGCCTGGGAATCTACCTTTGAAACAAGCTCCCCAGTGATTCACTGTATGCTGACATCTTCAAACTACTGGCCTACACTGGAATTCCTCTCTGTCCCCAGCCCGCTGGGACGCTTCCCTACGTCAGCATCAGGGGCATTGATGCGGTGGGATAATAGCCCAGATGGAGGACGAACAGAGCGGCAGTGATGGGGTGGCTCCAGGACCACAGCAGGCACAGAAGTCAGCCTCAGCCTGGGCTCAGCAGTGTGTCTTACACAGATCACAATCAGAACTCCAGGATTAGAAGAAAAACAGAGGACCAATTTTCAGAATCCTGAGAAAGAAATGGTAACAAGAAATATGTCCAGGATACAGTAGAGCTGTTTGAAGGATGCTAAGCAGGTGGGAGAGGGGACGGGGCTCTTCAGGGCCTGGCGTGGGAGCTGGTGGGAGCTGTTTCCCTGCTGGGGTAGAGTGGGTGGTGAATAGGTTCAGCAGGCAGTTTAGGGGGAAGTGGGACCATCCCACCCACAGCTGAGCTACTGTTTCAGTTCTCTTTTCTGGGCACAATCAAGTACTTGAGGCCTTGATGAGGTTAACCACAGGAAAACCACAAGAAAATGGCTTCAAGGCAGCCAGCCTGAAATAGGGTGTGAAGAACTCTGTTCAACCTCTGGGCCAGCAATGGGTGGGAGGCTATGGAGGACAGGAAGGCGGAGATGGTGAGAAGCTGTCTCTCACCTGCCAGCTTCCAGCCTCAACTACACACGACTCTCCAAAGTCCCCAACAATCACAGGACTGAGTCACTTAGCATGCTCTCCTATTTAGGGAATAGCATGACACTGGACAAGTGACATTTCCTCTCAAAATGCCTTTTATTCAAATGGAAAGATTTTTGTTATCCTGCTTGGGCTGTCAGTAATCTTAGCACACGACCAACAGAAGCCCCAGAATTAAGTCTTCAACTTCTCCCTTGTTTAGTGAGCCTTCCTTTGTCTATTTCAATTCAATTACTTTCATATCATTTAGCGGCCACTCGAGCTAGTCATCAGAGGGTGAATTAAGAAGTACAAGCCTGAGAAATGCCTCCCCCATGGAGCTCAAAGCTTTGAGGGTATCAGAATTGTCTGGGGAAACAGTTACCACACAGATTGCTGGACCCCACCCCTAGAATGTTTCTGGTTCAGTAGATCAGGGTGAAGCCTAAGAATGTGGATTTCTAACAAGTTCCCAGGTGATGCTGAGGCTGCTGGTCTGGAGACCACACTTGGAAAGCCACTGTCTAGAGGAGCGATTTCTAACCTCGTGTGAGGATATGCCATGACAATCTCTAGAGAAGTGTTTTCATGTTACAGGAGACAGACCCTGCCCCTTGGAAGCTCAGCTTTCACCCAATCTGGTAAGAAGGGTAGGGAGAAATCATTCAGGTAATTCTTTAACTACTTCATAGCTATGTATTTGACACATTTGAAAACTGTCTAAATTCACTTAAAAGAGGGAAGAACTTCTGGCACCGCCTTATCGGTAACACCCAAGAAGCATTTACAAAACTCTCATGTTGGCTGGATCCACTGAGACACGAATCTGTGCTTTGTTCCTCCGGCAGCAGGAGACTTGAAAGCGGGGATTCTCCTTCCCACAGCTACACAGCTAACAGGGAGCCGAGTCAGAATTTAAAGTCAGGGCTCCTGGAGCTTAGGGTTTTAGACCTTCCTGAGCTGCTGAGTCTTAGGCTGAGTACTCGCTTCCATGCTTGGCCTTCGTGCTTGGCAGTATCCAAGTCCTCTTTCTGCTCCTTCCTAATTGATGAGTAGGGAGCATGCAGCAGTAACACACGCGACCAAGGGCACAGAATTGTTCCTCACAGGGGTAGATGGTCAATTCCTAAGGCTCTGCCATGCAGTTCCTATTGAAGCTACTCAAGTGTGCCACTGTAGCATGAACACGGCCATAGACGATATATAAATGAAAGAGTACAAGCCAGGCACAGTGGCTGACGCCTGTAATCCCAGCACTTTGGGAGGCCGAGGCGAGTAGATCACCTGAGGTCAGGGTTTGAGACCAGCCTGGCCAACATGGTGAAACCCCATCTGTACAAAAAATACAAAAATCAGCCGGGCATGGTGGCATGTGCTATAAGAGAATCACTTGAACCCGGGAGGCAGAGGTTGCAGTGAGCTGAGATTGCGCCACTGCACTCCGGCCTGGGGGAAAAGAGCAAGACTCTGTCTCAAAAAAACAAAAAACAAAAAACAAAAAACCAAAAAAACTCCTGTTGGAATACTGGGGTACTCTTGGTTTTTGGTTTTTGTTTTTTGTTTTTTTTGAGATGGAGTCTTGCTCTGTCACCCAGGCTGGAGTGCAGAGGCGCGATCTCGGCTCACTGCAACACCTGCCTCCTGGGTTCAAGCCATTTTCCTGCCTCAGCCTCCCTAGTAGCTGGGATTACAGGCACCTGCCACTACGCCTGGCTAATTTTTGTATTTTTTAGTAGAGACAGGGTTTCTCCATGTTGCTCAGGCTGGTTTCAAACTTCTGACCTCAAGTGATCTGCCCGCCTTGGCCTCCCAAAGTGCTGGGATTACAGGCGTGAGCCACTGCACCTGGCCCCAGCAAGACTTTATTTACAAAAAAGAGTGGTGGGTCAGATTTGGCCTCCAGGCCATAGTTTGCTGACTGCTGCTGTATAAGATGGATGTTGGAAAGAAAGACCAGGAGCTTCCAATAAGCCTTGAAGCTTCAGGCTTCAGCCAGTTCCAGTAGACTGTGTTCTGGTTCCCTTCTGAATCACTCTGCTTGGCATGAGCTGCAATGTCTGAGAAAATCACAAGGTGCTGCTGAAGCCAGCTGGAGAGTGGGTTACCTGAACATGAGGGCTCCATCCCGAAGGCCCAAGGAAATGAAGTCGCTATTGGGCCTCATGGGGCTGTCTCCTCTCCACAGCAAAAGGCCATCCTTGGCAGTTGTCTTAAACCTCATGAACACATTTGATCTTGATCCTGACACCCTGGAGGAAATACACAAACAAGTCCACCAAATCAACCACCAACATCTGTTTCCGAGTAATTCCAGTTTTGCCTGCCAGCCCTGAGGAACCAGATGTAGGATAATCTGGCACTTTCTGACGCTTACTTCATCACCCTGAGTCGCACCACGGATCTAAAGGTCTAGACTGCTCACTCAGCAGCAGTCTCCCTCCCCAAGCACTGTGAACCCCACCACGGAGCATTTGCTGAGTGACAGATTAGCAAGACTATGGCCAACGTCACAGCTTAGGCTGCACCCCGTACACACCTCATTCTTTTCTCTTTCCTGTTTTGCTACTCAAGGGCCCCATTCCCCAACAGAAAGTGTGTTTCCTAATTACCAAGAGGCTTAAGTTGGCAGCCACTCTAGGCTAGGAGCACGGCTGTGGATGGCCAGCTCTGGCCGGTGAGTGACTGTCCTTGGGGACAAGGTCTAGACAGGGAAAATACCCAAGTGATGGCGTCTCAGACAAGGAACATGGCCTGATAGTGAATGGTCTGGAGTGGTGTTGAGGCAGAGCCAGGGTGGAGAAGAACAGGAAGCTTCAAGGAAAGGAGGGGTGCTCAGGCTAGGCCGGCTCCATACTCTACATCCATGGCTGGGAATGGGTTCACAGGCTGATGTGCTCTTAGCAATGCTTAAGAATAGACTAGTTCAGAAATTCATTCTTATTAGCGTGATCAGTGTTTCATCTTGCACAGGGAAAAGAGGAAGGCTGAGGTCCTTGAATCAAGGGTGAGATAGGAGGAAACATAATTTAATATTGCCACTAGCATAATGTTATTGGAAAAGTTCCTTTGTCCATTCTCTAGTCACTTGAGCCATCCCTCTGTCTGTCCCACACACCTGGGTCTGTGTCTGCAGAGTGTCCTCAATCGTGAACAGTGGAGGGGACTATTGTCTAGGCTTCCCAGAGCCTGAGCTCGTCAGGAAGAGACCAAGTTTGCATTCCCCATGCAGGGCCTCAGCACGGCGAGGGAGGAGCGAGGTCCCCCAGGCCAGGTGCAGCACAATCTAGCACTGACCCGTTCCCTAGAGACCTGCTTAGCCCAGACTTTCGCTCAGGTTCCTTCCCTCTCGCATTTGCCTTGCGTGTATTGATTGGTTACAAGGCAGTCAAGAGGTTCCCATTTCTCTTGCCAGTGATTGATTTAGGGGCAGGCATGTGGCAGCACAGAAGAGACACAATCGTATCCCTTTTGTCCAGTGAGATACAATTCTGGGAAGAATTCCTTCTCTTTTAGAAAGAGTCACATGAGAAAAAAAGTCTTTTTAACTTCCACTGGATATAGTCAGAGTCATCTTATGTGCAGCTTACAGGCAGCTGGGGAGTGGCCTCGGGAGAAGATGCTGAGGACAACAAGCAAGAAATAGGGATGAGATTGGAATCTTTGAGGGTACAGCTGCTTCTCTTAATTGATCAACCCAAGATCCAGTGTAAGTCTGGACACCTTGTGATGTGAAATAGTAAATATCCCTCATGCGCAAGACATTTTAAGCTGAACTTTCTGTTCCTTTGCACCAAAGGTATCTGACTGGAATAGATCCTGAACTTGACTTTTACCTGCAGCCTCACATACATGCATTTGTACTGTCATATACACACATACACACACACGCGCATGTGTACACACACATACACACACACTATGGCACTCAAGGTAGCTGTGGTCTTGGGCCTCATGTCTCCTGCTCTCATCAATCCCCTCTACTCCCCCAAACCACCTGGTAGTCTCTCACTAACCCCCAGAGACTGAACGCTTGGGCCCCTTTCACCCTGTCACTGCTTTCTAGGCTGAATGACCTTCCGTTTTTGGAGAGAAAGGGCTGAAGAAGGAGGACGGTCTCTCTTGGCTGGGAATCCATTTTACCTAAGTCCCCATGCCAAGGCAACACAGATAAATACAACCTGGGATTAGAGAAGTGAAGCAGTGTCTGCCTGGGGTGTGCTGGGAGTTACCAGGGACATCCAGTGCCCTAGGAGAATTCCTCCCAACCACTTCTGTTCCCTGACAAGTCACCAAACTCCACCCTAAGAACTGGATGCCTTTTGTTTAAAGATTTGCCCTTGTGTGTTAAGATGCAGTCAATCTGAAGAGGCAGGGAAATCCCAGAATGATTGTGTGGAGAGCAGAAAGGGGAACAGCACACTAGAAGCCACAAAGAACTGGGGGAAGGGAAAGAAAGAGATAAGGGGCAAACTGAAAGTGCCAAAGACAAGCTTGACTGAGTTGAGGATTTTGCCACGTCAAAGGCTATTCCAAATCAAGAGCAACTCCAGGCCAGGGCTGGGACTTCTGCCACCAGGGGTGAGACGCCATGGCTGTGACTTGGGCATTTCCCTGCATCCACATGAAGAGCGCTGAGAAGCCTCTCACTGAACTGGCCAGAGCCTGAAGGGGACAAGAGACCTTTGCTGATGAAGATGCAGGGTAGGTACGGACCCAGCAGGGAACGGGCTTGGATCTGTCTGTCCCTCCGCTGCTGGCCCAGGTTGGAGCTGCACAGTCCGGCCACGGCACAGCATGGAACTGCCCTGCTCAGAGAATCATAGTCATCACTGAGGCTTCGGGAACATCACATTCTCACTGCTTCTCAAAGCCTGAATACTGGAAACTCTGGGACCAGTCAAGCTGCTCTCTCCAGGCCCTTTGACCAGAAAAATACTAGATTGTTTGTAACAGGGTTATTTGAAAGGCCACTTTCTCAAGTTTAGTTTGTTTTTTGTTTTATTTTGCTCTAGTTTCTATGTTTATTTCATGTTGTGTGTGTTTTTCCCCTGAGGCCATGGCTGAATGGTCTTCTTTGAGAATTATCTTCTGGCATGAAATATAAGAAAAAGCTCTGAGAAAGATATAGAGAAAAATTTACCCCCAGAAAGCTGAGGAAGGTGCCTGTTGAAGCTTATTACCTCTTCAAGATATCTGGGTTGTCATACGTCAGGTAACTGCGGCCAATAAACTGCGGGATCTCAATGGCTTCTACGATCGCTGGGACAGAACAGAAAAAGGAGGTTACATAGTATGTGGTTCTCTTGGCTCCTGCACTCACACATACAGCAGGAAAACACCCAGCTCCTGGAAATAGGATGTTTAAAAATTCATCAACCCCTTCCCTTTGGCTGCACGCATATTCACAGTTGCCCGGCCCCATGGCCTGAGGTTGGCTTCTCCCCCACTTTTCCCTCCTGGGGAAGTCTTGTCCCTGCCACTGGCCTCAACGCTGCTGAGAAGGCCTCACGATGTGCTGAAACTTGAACTGTTCCCAATTATTCTTGGAAGCCAAAGAGCAGGTCTTGGGCCATGTGGGGAGCAGCTGGGGATAACCCCAGATGTTCTCCTAGGGAGGCAGAGAAAACAAATCCCTAAGTAAGGCCCCCTAGGATTCTTGAAAGTTAATTTGCTGCAGAACCCTTTAAGCGAGGACTTCGAGAGACTCCAAAGCACTATGAATGAGGCTTGGACTCCTGCATTTCCGATCACTTTCCAGTGTATTTCACAAGATCTTTTGTTTTGAAAAGGAGTTTCGCTCTTGTTGCCCAGGCTGGAGTGCAATGGCACGATCTTGGCTCACTGCAACTTCCACCTCCTGAGTTCAAGCAATCCTCCTGCCTCAGCCTCTCAAGTAGCTGGGATTACAGGCACCCACCACCAAGGCCGGCTAATTTTTGTACTTTGGGTAGAGACGGGGTTTCACCATGTTGGCCAGGCTGGTCTCAAACTCCTGACCTTAGGTGATCCACCTGCCTTGGCCTCCTAAAGTGCTGGGATTACAGGCATGGCCACTGTGCCTGGTCTATTTCACAAGATCTTCACAACAATCTCATGAAGTAGCAGTTAGTATGGGGGAAGGGAAGGGTTGGTTATTCTCACTTTACGGAAGAGAAAGTGAGGAGTAGAAAGCATGGAGGATTTGCCTGAGATCATGTAGTTAAGAGAGCACTAGGCCTTGAACCTGACCGGCTCTTCTTAATTCTGGCTTCCGGACCCCTCTCAGCTTTCCAATATTTTAGAAATACATTTTCTTCCTCCCAAACTCTCATCACTTTGTTTTCCTGAGGAATTACCCTTTTACACATAGTTAGCAAAAGAAGAGTTTAAGTAGCTGTGTGTGGTGTCACGAACGGGGGATGAGGCTAGGGGATTTCTGCTAGAGAAATAACAGCAATATCTCTTTCCTCTTTGGAAAGATACAGAAATGGTGGTTTAAGGAAATTAAGGTAGAATAAATCTCAAATTCAAAGAAATGTACAAAATGAGGGCGAGTAAGAAGGTTTATAAAACACGTTATAGTTTCACGAAAATACATGGTTGGTGCAAAGAAGACACTGAACGAAGGACTCTCCACCCCAGAGAGGAAACGTAGAATTATTTGATACTATGAACAATCGTACAGATTAACCTTCAAACATAAAAAAAGAGCAAAAGCAGCAAAGCCGATGACAATGGACCCCCCAGTAGAAGTCTCTATGTTGGCAGCTTCCCAGAGCCTTTCATAAAAACTAAAAAAGAAAAGAAGAGAGGAAAGAAAACAAGAAAGCAAAGGATGAAAAAGAAAATTTAAAAGAAAATTTTGGAGGTAACTACCGAAGAAATTGCTCTGTGGTTCTCGGAAGCAGCACAGCCCTGGACAAAGGCCTGAGGCTGCAAGGACTTAGCAGGGCCAGAGGTGAAGGGCTCTTGTCACTTACAGTTCAGGGCTGCACCCCCAGCCACTCCCTTCTGACTAAGGGAGATAGGAGGAAGAGAAGACAAGGAAGGAAAACAGGAAAAGAGAGTGGAAGGCAAAATGGCAAGAGGATGGGAAAGGAGCCGAGTAGGAAAACAGGTGGGATGAATGAGAAAGAAGGGACACTGCAGCAAGAAGATGAGGGAAGAAAGTGCCGAGGAAGACAAGCGGGAGAGAAGGCAGCCACCGGGCAAGGAAGGACAGGAAACAGAAAAGGAAAGAAGGCAGCGCCGGAAAAGGAGGGGAGGGAATGGACCCAGAGGAATAGACAGAAATGTCAGGGAGGAGGAGGACTGGGCAGCAGGTAGGAGTGCAAAAATGGAGGAGGTGGAAGGAAGTTCTCAGCTGGGGCAGCGGGCCCCTCATTCAGGACACCATGGCTGGGAAGGGAGAAGGAGAGAAGATGCAAGCTGAGCGGCGGGGGAGGCCTTCCCGGAGCTAAACGGAACCAAGGAGTCCCTGGTGGGTTGGGCTCACCCCCAGAGGGGAGAGGTACAGCCAGGGCCAGTCCCTGCTGTTGTTGGCCGTGGCGGTGGGCCTGTGGCCAATAGCCTTCTTTCCCCTGAACTCCTTGCAAGGGTCAGGACGTGCCTGCCACACATCAGCTCTGCACACGAGCCTCCGAGGGGGTCTGTGGGCGCCCCCAGCAGCTGCCGGCTCAGCCCCCAGCTCAGGAGAGAATGTCCTCTGGCTGGCCGGCGGGAAGGCTTCCCACCATGCGTAGGCATGTCCCAGCTCCCACACCACTCACCCCGGGTCCCCCTGCATGCGGTTAGCTTGCCCTGGCAGGCCCTGGCCCCAGCCCAGAGCACTCTCGCCGTCTCTCATAGGACTTACTGTACTTACTATTGAGGCAGTAGTTCCCACACTCTGACCGGTGCCAGCATGAAAGAGAACAGGGAGAATCAGCCTTTCACAGTCCTTGTCAAATCCCAATTACTCTGGTTGCAGATCACTTGAAGCCAGCCTTGTTTCTCTCACAAAGCTCTGCCCGAGGGTCCAGAACGTCCTCTTAGGGAATGTGAATATGAGCCCCGCGGGGAACCACTGGAAATCTCTCCTCAGCATGATTGGCACCCAGCCACCCGCCTCCCCGCCTCAGCTCGGCTTAATGAAGATGGAGGTGGCGGTGGACCAAGAAGATGTTTGAAATCAGCTGTCTGACACTTCTGAGGCTCCCTCACCTTCAACCGACAATCTGCATTTCTTTTAAATCTAGAGACACAGCTCCTTGCTCAAGAGTTACTTACCTTGTCAATGATTATTACTTTTCTTGGCTCTAGGCTGCGTGTGAAAAAGGAATGATAAGCCAGCTAGCTGCCTCTTCTCTCTGCCTAGTGGAAAATATCGCCCTCATTCCCACCCCATCTCCACTTGCAAGATTCCAGACCCCTGGTTATTTTGTGATTAACAAAGGCAGCGGCACCCTCGAGAAACACCGCAGAATAAAAAATGGTCAAACTATGCTTCACTTAAGTGAGTATATACAGGAACAAATAATCACATCCAAAATCATCACAGCTTGAAGTGACCATTGAGCCCTTTCTGGCTCTTTGTAGTTGGTTTAAATGTTGTAAACATAACTGTTGTTGTTATTATTATTATTATTATTTTGAGACAGAGTCTTGCTCTGTTGCCCAGGCTGGAGTGCAGTGGCATGATCTTGGCTCACTGCAACCTCTCCCTCCAGGGTTCTAGCCATTCTCCTGCCTCAGCCTATTGAGTAGCTGGGACTATAGGCATGTGCCATCATGCCCAGCTAATTTTTGTATTTTTAGTAGAATTGGGGTTTTGCCATGTTAGCCAGGCTGGTCTCGACCTCCTGACCTCAGGTGATCCACCTGCCTGGGCCTCCCAAAGTGCCAGGATTACAGGTTTGAGCCAATGCGCCTGGCAAACATGATATTTTAACCTAACCCTATACCTAATTTTTTGCTTTTATTGAAAAAAATTTAATTGACACATAACAATTGTACATATGTATGGGGTACATAGTGATGTTTTGATACATATATATGATCAGATCAGGGTAATTAGTGTATCCATCCCATCTCAAAATGTATCATTTCTTTGTGCTGGGAACACTCAATGTCCTCCTGCTAGTTATTTGAAACTATTTATTATTGTCAACTATAGTCATCCTATAGTGCTTCGGAACACCAGAACTTATTTCTCCTATCTCCCTGTAACTTTGTATACTTTAACAAATCTCTTCCTATTCCCCACTTCTCTCTACCATTTCCAGTATTTCTACATTGCCTTTTTTCTGTGGCAATGGCCTTACTGATTAGTCGAAATGTGTTTTTTTCATTTTCTTACATTTATACCTAAAAGCCTGTGCCATCTGGACACACACACACACACACACACACACACACACACACACTCCAGTGGACAGCAGCCTCCAAGCCAGAAGCCCTGCAGTCCAGGCAAAGCAAATTTTCCGTTTGAGGAACTTGGAATTCCCAACAGACTATAAAGAGTTGGTCAGGTGTGGTGGCTCATGCCTGTGATCCCAGCACTTTGGGAGGCCCAGGCGGGTGGATCACCTGAGGTCAGGAGTTCGAGACCAGCCTGGCCAACATGGTGAAACCCTGTCTCAACTAAAAATACAAAAATTAGCCCGGTGTGGCAGGGCATGCCTGTAATCTCAGCTACTCGTGAGGCTGAGGCAGGAGAATCGTTTGAACCTGGGAGGCAGAGGCTGCAGTGAGCCGAGATCACACCACTGCACTCCAGCCTGGGGTGACAGAGTTAGACTCCATCTCAAAAAAAAAAAAAAAAAAGTTGAAGGGACTAATGTTTCTTTCCCACATTCACAGGACCTTAGCAAAGGAAAAGGCCCTGTGGGCATGGAAGGCTAACTTCCCCAACAACCAGGGCTCCTCGCAGCAGTGTCCTTGATAGATGTCCATCCCGCAGGAGCAAACACTTCCCACAATGAGCAGCTCACTCTTAGACAAGGTAGCACTCTCCCGTGCTGGACCATTCTACTAGGCACAGAGATCTTTATTATAGTACACTGACTGTAGCCACAAAGTAAAAACAAACAAAACTTTCCCTACACTAGCAGCCCTTCAACTATCTGAAGACCAACATCTACATTAAACACCCCCAGATCTCCCATTCTGGGGGTGTTTAATGATATACCATCCACAGAAAAGAAATTCCTCTGAATTTGGCTCTTGCAGTTGGTTTAAGTGTTTTCTAAAGGAAGTTATCCTTCGCATTTTAGTGCATAAGTACATCAAAGCATGGCTCTAATCATCTTATATTTTTTATTTTTTGAGATAGAGTCTTGCTCTGTCACCCAGTCACCTAGGCTGGAGTGCAGTGGCATGATCTCGGCTCACTGCAAACTCCGCCTCCCGGGTTTAAGTGATTTTCCTGCCTCAGTCTCCTGAGTAGCTGGGATTACAGGCATGCACAACCACACCTGGCTAATTTTTGTATTTTTAGTAGAGATGGGGTTTCACCATGTTGCCCAGGCTGGTCCCAAACTCCTGACCTCAGGTGATCCACCCGCCTCAGCCTCCCAAAGTGCTGGGATTACAGGTATGAGCCACCGCGCCTGGCCTGACTCTAATCATCATAAAAGCATATATTGTTATGCGATATCAGAGCATCTGAATGTTTGGTTGTCCTAGGGTTTGTCTTTGCAGGCATTACTAAGCTGCTTCCTTAGCCATAGACATCTTATATGACCGTGTGACTGACAAGGAATGTACCTTGCTAGTTTTAAGATGGAGCTGACTTTTAAAATGGTGTCACCCTGGCTCTCCTATGCTCCTGTTTCAGGAATCTTGGGAACCATCTTAGAATTGTGCTATTACAAGTTCCAATTACTAAAGGAGGAAATGACCAGAATGAGGAACTGGGAACAGCCAACATGGTCATTAGCTGAAGGACTGCAGCGAACGGTCTGGGTATTTGTTTAATGTGTATGTTTGCATGTTTCACTCTTTAATTCATCTGTAAGATAAACACAATTGAAATTTTTTTCCTATATAACAACTGAATTACTTGTGTAACAATAACCTCTCTTTTCCAATTAATTTGAAATGACTTATTTTTAATATATTAAATATATTTTTAACATATTAAATATATTAAAATTACTATATTAAAATTTTATGTTTAGTATTAAATATTAACATATTGTTAATATAATTTAGTATTTAAAATCAAATATTAATATATTATTAAATATAAAATTTAATATATTAATTTTCAATACATTAAATGATATAAAATTTAATATATTAAATTACATTAAAGAGAAATTCCCTTTAGTATGCATGATTTATGTGTTTTATTAATTTGTGGTTTATATACGGAGTTTTCTTATATTTGCAGAAGCTTTTTTTTATATATACACTGGGACCAAAAACAAAAAAATCACCCAAATCAGACCCTGGAACATGATGTTACTCAACTAAACACAACATAAATGCCCTAAATGTTGCATGTGTGGTAGGTCAATATTGAGCAGGCAGCATTGAATACTTAAGGACTGTGCGCCCCTGATGAGTACATGCGCTAAGCGTAGCTTTGTCTCAACAGCTGTTGGCTTTCTTGTGCGGGGCCACCTGCTATAGAGAAACACCGCCATCTAGTGGCCTGTGGGATCCTACACAGTCTGAATTGAAGCTCTTCTAGTAACACAGGGAAGGGAAGGGCCAAAGCTTAGTTTCCCAGGTGACTTGTCCACTATTGACTGGGAGAACCCAGAGAAAACATCTGTGCCCTGCATTCACCTCTTAAACACTCAGAGCACAGCAAAGGCTCTGAGAAATTCTGCAGAAGAGAGAGAATTGTCTGTTTACTCAGGATTATCCAAATGTATTTCACCATAGAAGCCTCCTCCCATTTTGTGTACGTGAATGCGTGTGTGTGTGTGTGTGTGTGTGTGTGTGTGTACAAAACAGCGATTAATATTCCTCAGAACTTAGTTTTTTACATGTGCTTTGTGAAATTCTTCTAGAACATTTTAGTAACTTACTTAGATACACAAGCTCTGAGGAACTGGGACACAAGATGGGTCCACTCGGATGCAAGTAAAGAAAAAAGGAACGAAATCTCTAAATATGGAAGTAATTTTTGATGGGGAAGGCCTTGTTGAGAAAAAAGGGGGCCTAGGCATTGGGGTAATGCATGGGGTGCTGAGGTTTAGGGTGGGGAAGATGCCTGAAAGTCAAACCCACCAATTGGAAGGCGAGAGGACCCCCAAGGTCAAACCTTATGTTTTTTCTTGGCACCTGAAGTCATGGCTGGGAGTAAGAAGAACCTCTAGCTTCTCCTGTCCTGGTGGGTCTTGAAGGTGGGACAGACAGGTTTGAGTTTCTGCAGTGGCCACTGCTACAGGAAGCCTGTGGTATCCCAAGAGCCTCTCAGATGCTTAGTGGGAGCTTGGTGCACCCCTCAGTCTGGGTCACACTCTCCTGTTCCTGCCTCCAGCCTCACAGGGAAAAGTGGGGGCCCTGAAACCACCATGTAGCCTAAGTGCCTGGAACTGCTCCAGGATTTGTCTGAGTTTCTGGCCCCTGCTCTCCTGGGTTACCAAGAGGTGGGAACAAGCGTCAAATTGTCCAACTATGGCCCTTGTGGAACTCACTTGCCACACTATCTGATGCAGCTGAAAAGACCCAGACTCACTGATGATCCAGAAAATGAAATTCCTCATGGAGAAAGGCCCTTTGGTATGGACTGGATGAGGCCTGATGCTGGTTATTTCTATACCATTTTGCTCCATGTGAAAGGACTGGTTTAACTTCTGTAGGGATACTGGGAACAGGTTCTTGCTTTTAAAACATGGTTTGATTATGAGGCAGAAAAGAACTCCAACTTTGAAATATATGAGGCTAAAAATCACCTTGCTGAATGAGACAGGATTCTTTCTGACAACCAAAGATGGCTTCTCACCATTCTTGGTCTTTCAAACCAAGGATTTCCCCAAACTTTCTATGTATTCTCTTGCATCTCTATGGAACAACATAATTGCCCATTTCTTTTCCTTTTCTTTCCAATCTTTACAATGGGACTAAATGCTTTCCCCAATATTATAGCAGTTGGCATGGCAACTGCCCACAATTGGTACCTGCTGGAGCCTGGAAAAATTGTTGCAGAGCCCCATTAATCCTCTCCAGTCATTATGATGGGAGAGGAAATTATGGGATAGGGGCCATACCTCTGATATATGAACCTTCTTAGGATTTGCAAACGATGCCATCTTCCCAGAAGCAGTATCTTGATTTCAAAACACAATCAGATACTGATTCAACATGGAGGGTGGCTGCTGGCTCATCTGGATTCCAATCCTGGATCTAGACTGCTTTGCAGGAAAAGAGTGTCCTGCAGTTCCCTCTGCTATCATCCATTCTCACCGATCTTGCCAGATCCAGGTGCTCACTGGGATCTATCCCAACCTTCTGGTAAGATTTGCTTCTCACTGAACCTGAACCTATAGTTACAAAGCTATAAATGTGAGCACTTTATCTCTGTTATGGCTGATGTTCTGCAGCAGGAAATGAGGGCTAACAAGATCACACATTATCCTTTCTTTCTCCCTTTCATTTCCAATGCTAAATGTTCATCTAAGTCTGGGATTTATATATTGATCATTCATGTTAGATATAAGGCAGGTACGAACTCGAAGCTCCTGTGGTAAAATTGGAGACTTAGGAAATTCAAACACTGATGTGTGAAATCCAAACCCAATTTTCTGAATGAATGAGCCACTCTTCAGCTAAATCTCTGCAAGTACAACCTATTAGCTAAACAGCAATTTGCTTGTTAGGATTATAATCAGGGTAATTCACAAATGAATCAATTACTCTTCCTTGTTAAAAATACATTTCATGATTTGCCATGTAGATTTCAAAATTCATTTAAATATAAGAAATACTACTAAGTCTTCCAATTGGCAAATTGGCATCTTTCATATTTTCCAAGACTGCTGTAGAATGACTTCTCCTACCATTCCATATACCAACATAACTACCTGTAATTTATAGTTTTCCTCTAAGCCCTAATTCTGATAAAAATCAAGAACCTGGAAATAGGACAGACAGTGCACGTTCCTTCAGAGGCTCATTGCTTTATTTCCTCCAGGTTTTTGGGTTTTTTTTAAGTTCTTGGGCAGGTGAGGCCACATTGAGACTGAAAAATGAAGGCCCAACATGATGGATATATGTGGGAAGCCTATTCCAGATACCAGGGCCATGTCCTCCATTTCCCATAAGCAGGTACAAAAAGCAAGTCCAGCAGGGTCTCATGGTCTATGACCTGCCCTGGCTTTCAGTCTAGGGCAAGATGGAAACTGAGTAGCCCACAGCACCTGCTCATGGATTTTATTTTTCTCACCATGAATAATAATGACCAGTATTGGTTGGTTGCTTGAGTACTTACCAGGCCCTCTTCTAAATGCTCTGGATACATTGTCTCATTTAGTCAACACCATAACCTTCTGTGTTAGACACACAATAACACTGCTATTATTATTCCCATTTTACAGTTGAGAAAACTGAGGTACAGCAATTTGATAGCTTAGAAAATAGCACTATACAGAAGGCTATGCATACTTTAGTTTGGAGCAACTAATGTATAATTTGTGTTTTTGCATATTTGGGCAAGGTTTCTCTTATATAGCACTCACAGACAGGGGTCAAAACATTTTTCAGTCTACAAAGCACAGGCATTCATCTATCAGGACAGGCTCCAGGAGTGGCTCAGGCGCAAAACTCCTGGAAACCCCTACTCTGTTGTGAGTTAACTCTTAGGTTGCTAGACCATGAAGCGATTCTCAAGGAAGGAGCCAGGGCAGAGGGTGGGAAACCTATTTACCCACTGTTAGCAGAAGTGTTTCAGCATTTAATTCTTATTAAGGAATTATGGTAGTTTATAAATAATCATCCAATAAGGTATTGAAATAATTGATCAAAATAACCAGTATGGCTGTACCACTGTTACAACTCTCCCATTAAGAGTTGTGGTCCCCCAGTGGACTGTCCATTCCCTCCACTCCCTCCAGGGAGCTGTGCCTCAGACCCCTGAGTGTACCTTTCTGGCAGTGAAGCCCCTCAAAGCCCAAGGGGCAGTCACAGTCATAGCCCTCCTTCCTGGGCCGGCAGCTGCCCCCATGGGCACAAGGGGCCCTCACGCAGGGGTGGGCCGCATTCTCCACATTCACCCCGGAGGTGAAGTCATGCTTCACGTGGATGGTTCGGTCGTTCAGGATGATCTTGGGAGAGAAAAACGTAAAGAAATTCAGGAATTGAGAAACATCTTTGTAGTCTTCTAAAGCTTCCCTTAGCACATTAACCTGAGCTACACATACGGAGATTAAACAAAAAAGTTTTAAGTCCAGTTTCTACTTTTTCTTTTTTCTGAGATGGAGTCTTGCTCTGTTGCCCAGGCTAGAGTGCAGTAGCACAGTCTTGGCTCCCTGCAACTTCTGCCTCCTGGGTTCAAGAAATTCTTCTGCCTCAACCTCCCAAGTAGCTGGAATTAGAGGCACATGCCACCACGCCTGGCTAATTTTTGTGTTTTTAGTAGAGATGGGGTTTCACCATATTGGTCAGGCTGGTCTCGAACTCCTGACCTCAGGTGATCTGCCCGCCTCAGCCTCCCAAAGTGCTGGCATTACAAGCACGAACTACCATGCCCAGCCCAGTTTCTACTTTTATAGTCTTGGCATCTATGCAGGAGCTGAAGTGATCTGAAGTTGATCCACTTGGGAGAATCTGCAGAGTGAAGCGCTCCTCTGGTTCCAGAAGACTAGCCACTCGATTAGGTTGTAAAGAAGTCCCAAGAACTACAAAGTTCGGATTTCAACCCAGTTGCACATTAGGGGGGCTCTTAAGAAATACTAATGCCTTAAGAAATACTAACCCCCCCACTTGGGGGGCTCTTAAGAAATACTAATGCCCAGACCCGCCCATTCCCATTGAACCAGAATCTCTGAAGGTGAGACCAAGTTGTCAGTAACTTTGAAAAGTTTTTGAGAGTCACCTCAGAAGATGCAGCCCAGGTTGGGAGACACTGGTATATAAAGGAGAGTGGGGAGAGTACAAAACACAGTGTTATGGAGGCGGAGGTCAAACAGGGCACCCTGGCTCCCGGTGGCTGTGGAATCCAGAGACACTTCCTAGTGTACTCCTGTATGTTTCCGACTAATGTTCTCAAGAAATCTCCTAAAATTCCATGAGCTGGACCTCCCCGATTGTCCCACTCACTCCTGCCATCCTCCTTCCCTGACGTTCCTGAATCCCCTCCCTCTGCGCATTCCCTTCCCCACGTAAGAAACAAAAGTGAAACACAGGTCACATTCTTTACCCCACTGTACATGGATTTACTGGTGCTCAAGAGCTCCCTTGCACCTTCTGCCCTGTAATGTGACTCTAGTGAAACTGACAAATTATGAGGAAGGGCTACCTGGTACCCCAGCCCCCAATAAATGGATCCAACATTACCAGCCCTTGATTCAGAATATGGATTTACTTTGAACTCTTGCTGGCTTTGCAGAACTTGGAGACAGAAAGAACGCCTCCCAGGGGAACCCCCACTGCCCAGGGTTATAAGAGGTTAGCAATGGCACTTCCTGCCATGAATCTAAGCTTCCAAAGGCTTGCCTGGCCCTTGGAGAGCACTGGGAGAGTTGAGAGAAAACTTTTCCCCAGTCCTGAATCTGAGAAGCTGCTAGAAAGTAGGCAGGATCCTTCTACAATCTCCTCCTTTCATGCTGCAAGTGAAGGACCAAGAGACTGCATAATATGTGCTGAGACAAGCCAAGAACAGCACTGTTCACTACAGCACACGGCCAAGCCCGTGAATCAGGCAGGAGAGGGTGGTCCTTCTAGCAGGAGATAGGGAGAGGGTTGTGTGTACCGGGTGAAGGGGAGGGCACAGCCTGAGAAGAGCGAGCAGAGGATGGATAATGTCTTGGCATCCCAGCTTGTTTCCTAGGTGAGAATTTGAAACACCTGGTTAAGCATGGCCACTCCCACTCATGGGGGAGAATGGTCTGAACTAAGGTGTCACACACCTCAAAGTTCAGTGACAAAGGGAGACACATGACTGTCAGCAAATGTTGACTGGGCCTGACACTGCGATGGGAGATATGATGGCCACAGCCCCAGGGGTCCTTTTCAGTGAGAGGAGGGACTCTTTCATCATTCCTCCTTCACCTTAGCCTCCCTCATGCTCCATCAGGATCCTTTAGCCACCACAGGCCACGAAAGGAAAACAGGATGAAGTTAATGTCCAGGAACTAAACATGCTTTTCTTTAGATCCTTGTTCTCCCAGTGTTCAGTGGTTCTGCCCACCTGGGCTGGGGGGTCAAGCAGGTCTGTTGCAGACAGAGCATGTCTTCATAACCACAGAGATCATGGGCAGCCCCATGAGAAGGAATAAAAGACAGAGAGCAGGCCAGAAGCAGTGGCTCACGCCTGTAATCCCAGCACTTTGGGAGGCCAAGGTGGGCAGATCACAAGGTCAGGAGTTTGAGACCAGCCTGGCCAACATGGTGAAACCCTGTCTCTGCTAAAAATACAAAAATTAGCCAGACGTGGTGGCAGGCGCCTATAATCCCAGCTATTCGGGAGGCTGAGGCAGGAGAATCTCCTGAACCCAGGAGGTGGAGGTTGCAGTGAGCCGAGATCACGCCACTGCATTCCAGCCTGGGCGACAGAGTGAGATTCGGTCTTAAAAAAAAAAAAAAAGACAGAGAGCAGGGAAGCAGGGGAGTCAGTATCTTTTACTGAATTTTTTTTTTTCCTGAACCTTCTAGGGAAAAACTCTTGATGCTCTTAAGAGCTTGGTTACATGATCAATGAACACCAACTGCTAAAGTGTGGGGGTGGGGATGAGCACTGGCTCTAACGTTGCGCAAACCGCAAAGTACCGCCAAAGAGAAGCGCGGAGCCAAGGTTGCTATTCACCTCCATCCACTTCCTTCCGTACTGTGGAAGTATCTGTAGACACCTGATGCCATTTCACTCCCTCAGCAGTCCTAATATAGTTTGGTAGATTTGCTGTAAAAATTCATCATCACCAAGTGGCATTCATGGAATGTCTGCTGGGCACAGACCCAGGAGCAGATGTTATAAGAAAGTGAGGTTGGCAAGCCATGCTGCGGGCATTCAAATCTAAAATCTGAAAAATGTGAAAACTTTCTCAAAGTGTCATTCTTGGGTGCAGCAGATGACACGGATCGCAACCCTCACTTTCACTGTCCACGGGCCGGGTGGCCCAGTAAACACGAGGAAGAGATGCCTGTACCTTCTGGATGCTCCCACTGAAAGGCTTCAGGACACCTGAATTCTTCTTCACATCATCGTAATTGGGGACTCCGCCAACAAAAATATCTGTGTTGCACCTAATCTGTGTGAAGCCTCCCTGCCAAGAGATTAAAAACAAAGCATGGTATAACTTTAAAACAGATGTTCCAAATGATCACATGGGTCTTCGGTCCCCTGTTGTGGAACAAAATGGTAGACAGAGCCTCAAGCCCCACACGGCCATCTGTCTACACGTGGGCTTCACTCTCACAGTGCTTCTCACTGCTACTTACCACCTGCCTGCATGTTGGTGAAAGTCTTCATGTCTCTGAGACTTCGTTTCATTGTCTGCAAAATGGGAGTCATTGTATCTACCTCATAGCTATGTTATGATGACCGTGGCAGACTGCACTACTGGTCACAGGTACCCTCCCCGCAGGAAGATTGCCTCCAACCTGTCGGCTGGCTCAGATGAGCTTGTGTGACTTCCTATAGCCAATAAAACATGAGCAGAAGAGAAAAGAATCCCTTCTGGGCAGACGCTTTCAGAGCCAGAGAGTAGTTCACCATGCCCTTTTCTCCTTCCCTCTGTTCCTGCAGCCCGGATCTCAGATTAGAGCTGCAGCTAACCATTGGTGGGTATGTGTCATGAGTGAGAAATAAACCCTTAAATTTGAGAGCTCTGGGAATGAACACACTTTAGATAATGTTAAGTTATTATTTCCTTTGATTTACGATAAAAGAAATACAAATACTAGCAGCTTTGACCGTTTATTTAACAAATATTATCGGGCACTTACTATAATATGTCCCATCTACTATGTTAAGTGGTGGACAAACAGCAGAAAACAAGAAAGACCCAGCCCCTGCCCTGCAGGGGTTTACGCAAGTAGGGAATACAGACAAGTGAAAGAGCAGGTGAGATCAGCACTGGGAAGAACTGTACAGGTGGCTATGGGTGCACCGGGGTGCTGGACAAGGGAGTCTCATATCCTACCCTAGACACAGGGAGTGGGGGAGGTGGTCAAGGAAGAGTTAACATTGTAGAAACTGGAAGACACTGGGGCTTAGAGAGAATGTGAGTATAAGGCACAGGCAAGAAGGGGCCAGAGGATGCAGGGCCTTATACGCCACATTAGGAGCATGAACTTTACCCAAAAAAACAGTGAGATTTAAGCAGGAGAGAGAGGTCTGTGCTTTGGAAGATCATTGGCCAGAAGGAGGAGAATGAATCTGGGGTCATGTCAAGGGTAGAGAAGACGAGACAGGCGAGCCATGGAGGAGGAGGCTCTGTTTATCTTAGGGAGCGCCCACAGTGGCTGGGTCCAGCCAGGTAGCCCAGGGAAATTTCAATTAGATTAATTGACCGAAGTGCCTTCTGTCAATAGCCTTCAGGCAGCTTTGAGGGTTCTTACTTAACTAGGAGGTTATCAAAGAAGCACAAAGGCTTTCAGGAATTCTTGTGGCCCAGAAGAATACTGAACCAGTCAGGAACTGTCACCACAAACCCACAGGCGTCTTTCTCTTGTCATTGCTCTTACCCAAAAGCTAAAATAAGATGGAGAGAGGAAAGGAGGAAGGACACAGGGTCAAGGAGGTTTCAGAGCAGCTGGCTGCTAGGAAAAAAAACTGCATTATGTCTGTGTCCAGCGGCGGGGCCTCGTGGAGTGAGGAGCAGTTCCTTTTGGCTGCTCATCAAAATCCTCGTCCAACACCCTCCTGCTGACAAGTGGAAGGGCTGCAGCTGCCATGCCCAAGGGGGACCGCAGGAGAGAAGCAAACAGACCCCACCAAAGCCAGGCCTGCTCTGCAGTGAGGGGTTTTATGTCTGGATCCTACACTTTGGCTTGGCTGGAAGCAGTTTGCAAAGCTGAGCAAACCTCCAGGCTGGAGTTTCCTGAAAGTCTCAGAAGCACTGCTCTTTCATGCGTCTTGCATAGTCAGACCCAAGCCCAGGCCGCTGATATTTCTCAGTGCTGCCAACTGAGCAGCCTGGTGGTCAGGTTTAGTCTGCACACAGGCTCTTGGGTGCTTAGGTCCTGGGTTAGCCCCTCAGAGTGTACTCTAACCCCTGCCCTCATCTGTCTCTGAGCTCTAAGACCACTGCCCTGTCAGTCACACTTCGAACATGATATGGCCAGCGGGGGAACAGAATTCCTTGTGGAAAAGACTTGATGAAGGTTTAGCATATGGAGATCAGGCATTGGCCTTCCCACTCCTGGCTCACAGTAGACTCAGCAGAACGTCCCTCCAATGCACACACCAGAGCCACACCTTCCTGTGGGTTCCTTTTGCTTTTCTTTTGCTTTAAAACTCCAGTCAGCTCCATTCACCCACATGCCACCAAAGGTCAAAAAGTCAAAATGGAGGGTGCAGGTGCCACCATATTGGCTTCATGCTCTTTTGCTGATGTGCAGTGATAGAAACTCTGAGGTGTGGTTTTTACCTATGTGTCATCTCTTAAATCCTAATAGTAAATGCAGCGTCCTGAAGAGTAACTTATTTATAGTCATGGACCCTGCCCCTACTGTTTACAAACATTCCCATCCTCAGCTTTTGTTCCTGTTTTACAGATGTTTGCAACTAAGATCTAGAGAGATACAATTGAATTTATATCATTAAACCAACAGACAGCCAGGTGCATTCTTGTGAGCTTCTAATTCTGTCTTGGAGTAAAGTCGGCTGTTAGAATGTTCTGGATTGCACCAGAAGTGACTCCGGTTCTCCATTTAAAATCAATTTCCCTTCATCCCTTCCTTTCTTCCCTCCCCCTCCCTTCCTGCCTTCCACAGATATATATGGAGCATTTTCTAGGTGTGAAGGGTGCCCACCCCTTGACACAGAACCCAATTTGGGATTCCCCTCATTCCCAAGGAGGTCCATGGTTCCAATTGGTCCTCCCACTGCAGCAGCCCTCAGGCTGGCTTCTGGACATATGAGACCCTCTTTCTTCTCTCTCCAACCAAGTACCTCTTTCCCCAGCAAAAGTGCCTTTTCCTTCCTTTTCTTTTTTCTACTAGTCTATTTGCTTATTAGTATACCCAAATTTGTCAATGTCCTTTGCAAATCTTCCTTTGCACAGAATGAAAACTGGTGGGAAGTAAGATATTGGCAAATCTAAAGTCCCCTCTATTTTTGAGGAACTGTAAACTGTGTGTGTGTTTGCAGAATCCTAGCAGGCTATAGTTTAAAGCAAATCTCCCTGACTTCCTCCTAAAAATGTTATTTTTCTTTGTACATGACCTTGGAATTAAAATCATGCAGGAAAGTTATAAACTTGAGTAGAAATCCTATCCTCTTGAGTCCATAACCATACACTATTCACTACCACCACCACCACCACCACCACTACTACTACTACTACTACTACTACTACTACTACTGCTACTACTACTAAGTAAAGCTATTTAGTGCTGACCTGGCATCAGGTACTGCTGTTTTTTACATGTATAATTCTTTTAATTCACACAACAACTCTGTGAAGTAGGCACTATTATCATCACCACCATTATCACCATTGATAAGAGGATAATGCTGAGACAAGAAAAACAATCTTGGTAGGTCAAGTAACCAGTATGAGCTCACACCACTGGTAAGTAATTGAGCCAGATTTTGAGCCCCAGGAGTCTGGACTCACAGCCCATTCTTGTCAGGCCTCCCCCATGCACCATGGGCCCTACCCCAGAGTCCGTGTTCTTACCTACTACCTGGTGCAGCTGATAAGAACAAAGATGGAGGTGGGAGGTGAAGAGGTGAAAGGCAATTTTGTAAGTGCTAAACGTATTGGGTGTCAACTCACTTAATCCTCACAACAACTCTACGAGGCCCATACTATTATTATCCCCATTTATAGCTAAGTGATAGAAAAGTTAAGTAATTTGCCCAATGGGGAGCTGGGATTTTCACACAGGCACTGAAGTCCATGTACTTAACCACAACACTGTGCTGCTTTTTTACCAAGACAGGCAGAAAACAGTACTCTGGCTCACACTCACCATCAAGAGAAAAGGTGTGCTGTTCTTACCTCTGCCATTCCCTCCACTACCTTCTGCTTATCCACCTGTAAGATTCCATTCTTTGCTGTGCGAGATACACGAAGCTCGTGCCAGTTGCCTAGGGTGAGGGGATCTTCACTCCTGTAGAAGGAAGATGTGATATTAATTTTATGTATCGAGTTGATTAGGATAAGGAATGCCCAGATAGCTGGTAGAACATTATTTCTGGGTGTGTCTGTGAGTGTGTTTCTGGAAGAGATGAGCATCTGAATCAGGAGACTTAGTAAAGATCTGCCCTCATCAACCTGGGCAAGCATCATGCAATCTGCAGAGGCTCTGAACTGAACAAAAAGGAAGAGGGGTGGGGATGTGCTCTCTCTTCTTGAGTTGGGACATCCATCTTCTCTGACCTTGAGCTTCGATGCTGGTTCTTTGGTCTTCAGACTTGGACCAAGACTTACAACATCAGCTTCTTGGTACTTGGGCCTTTGACTTGGACTAGGATGGACATCATGGGCTCTCTGGTTCTCAGGCCTTCAGGCTTGGACTGGAAATACACCACTAAATTTCCTGGGCTGCCAGCTTGCAGACGGCAGGCCATGGGACTTCTCAGCCTCCATAATCATGCAAGCCAACGCCTCAGGATAAATCTCTCTACATGTCTATTTATAGCCTATTGGTTCTGTTTCCCTGGAGAACCCTGACTAACATAGAAGGAAACCGAGCATGGGTTAGCATGTTATGGATCATTTTTGTCAATCTAGCCATGAGGAAGCTAATGCTAAGCTTAGGCACCCCAATCCATTCAATAAAAAGAAAACACTAATTACTGCTTAGTAACAACAGCAGGATTAGTTACTGCTTATTGGACCCCTTCATACAGTAGGAGCATTGCATTTATTGTTTTATTTATTCCTTACAATGAGCCTGAAATGGGGTTCAGTGAGTCTGGTGATATAAGTTTTCTAGATGAGAGGTGGCGTGAAGGTAAAATATGGTCATGATTGTGCACAAGCTTGGAAGAAGAGAAAAATTATAGGAGCTATGATGTAAAAAACCAATTCTTTAGTGTACCAATGTCTGTAACATACTTTGAAATGCATAAAAAATAAGAAGGATCTTTCTGCTGTAGTCCTGAGTGGTTGCTGTTGAAAAGGGCACATTCGTAAAACCTAGAAAACTGGTGGTGGTCCTGGCCAGACGCTACTCCAACGCAAAGCTGTCATCACGAAGAATGTTGATGATGGCACCTCAGATCGCCCCTATAGCCACCAGATATCCCCTTGGACAAAACTGTCATCAATAAAGATGTCTTCAGAGACCCTGGTCTTAAACACAAGGCCCAATGGGAGGCCAAGGTCAAGTTTGAAGAGATGAACAGATGGGCAAGAACAAGTGGTTCTTTGAGAAGTTGCAGTTTTAGATGCTTTGTTTCGGTCATTAAAATTTTTTTTTAAAAATAAGAAGGATGAATGGACAGATATAACAATGGCTAGATATGTGATGAGGCAAATATAGCAAAATGTTAATTACAGACTATAGGTGCTCGGTATCAGGATGCTTACCATACAATTCTTCTAATTTTTCTGTATGTTTGAAATTTTTCATAATAAAATATTGGGAGGGAAACAGATTCCATATTTTCTGATATTGTAAAAATGATTAAAATTACATTAAAAGTTCAATTATTCATTCAAAGTGGAAGTGCTTAAAGTTTAATGATATTTATGCAAGTTTTACTCATTACATTTTATAGTGAGGTGTGCAGAAAGAGACTCATTATTGCATTTGTATTTCTAGCAATGTCTAGTTCCTGGCCCTCGCTGAACTTCCCAATTATCTCATGGTCCTGGATCATCTTTAGAAAACCATGAGGAATACCAATGGGCACAATTATTGAAAGGTCACCACCCCCTCGCTTGATTTTTTTTTGCTTTGGCAAATGCTTTTGTGATTTGTTCTTAGCAATTAGAATTTAATCACCTTGGCTAAATCAATATGCAATAAAGAAATAAGCAGCCCCTTTTAAGTGGTCTATCTCCACAACAGAGCCATTTCATGTTTTTGTACTGCAGAGGTCATTTGCTGTCAATATGCCACCTTCTTCAACATCCTTTTATCGATCACGGCCATCAAGAACTCATTTCGATTGTTGTGATTTTTTAATCAAGTTCATAATGAATTTGCCCGTCTTATCCTTTTCCTAAAGTTAAAATGATCTGGCCACTTCTGCAACTTCCCGTAGTTTGGGTTTTCACCGCATTTTCTTAATTAAGCAAGAAGTCTTTGAAATGGTTTTCAAAATAAACAGCTTCCAACGGGGCATCTGAAACACCAAGAGTAATCGCTGTTGTTAGGTTACGCTCAGGAGGGGATGGGATAAGGGGGCAGATGGTGGTTTGTCCCTTAGAAACTCTTGCCTCATTTTCATCACCTAATTCTGAAAAATTCTTTTTCCAGTTGCCTTTCCTGACAGGCAGTGAAACAATAACTTAATAAATGTACCAAAAAAAAAAATTAAAAACACCTCGTGTCAAAAATAAGCACAGAGTTATGAAAGAGAGAAATGCTGGACTTCTAAGGGTTCCATGTGCTCGTGACCCCACAGCTGGAGCTGCCACTGCACAGAGGCAGTGTGGAGGGGGCAGTCTGTCCAGGAGGAGGGCTGATGAGTCCCGAACCTCTCCTGGATCTTTCTGGTCCTTCCTTATCCAGGAAGAAAACCATTTAAAAGTGCAAGGTGATATTCAAGGTGTCTTCCTTTGTCAACCTGACATACAGTTCTAAGTGAATTGCTTAGGCTATTTTGCATAATCATATGTAAATTGAATCAATTAAATCCCCACCAAAGTTGTCTTGAAATATAGGATGTTTTTGCATAACCAGAGGTACAACAATATTTATCCATTCCCCTAGGGGGAAGGTGTCACTGATGTGCAGGAATTCAGCCACAAGGACAAAAACAAACCATCCTTTTTAAGAACTGTTAAAACCTAATGCAGTGAGCATTTTCTATCAGCCAGGAAAAATGATCAGTAGTTAAGGGCAATGCATAAGTTTTAGCATCTCACCCACATACTCTTTTTAAACATGACAGTCTAGCAATATGAAGAGTGATGGAAAACAGTTTGCAACATTCTTTGAAACAACAGACTAACTGATATCATGTTACAGGGCACTATGGAGCAAAACATTCTAGTGAGTTTCAAAAGAGAAGCATTAGACAAAGGTAGGAACAAGAAGTATGTCTGCATTCGATTAGTGGTCCCTCCGGCTTGAAGGTTAAAACTACCATCAACGCAATAAAAAGATGGGAGACATAAATAAAAGCATCTGCATCTACAAACTACAGGCTCCAAGGAACAATCCACCTGCTAAGTAATTTAATAGCACAAACTAGATAACAGTAGGAAAGTTTTGACTACTCAGACCAGTTCTGCAAATACCAGCAAGTACTGCAGAAGCACCCATTTCCTGCTATGCTATTGAAACCACTCATCGCACATCTTTCTTGAGCATACTGCTTAGGGAACGGGTCTTTGCATTGCTGATGATTCACTGTCAGTTTCCATTAAAGAAATAGTTCAAGAGGAAAGTGAAAATTTAGAGTGAAGTCATCAAGGACATTTTTGTTCAAAAATATTAATACTTTTTTACTAGTTGACATGTATTTGCTGGATGCCCATCATGTGATGCTCTGTATAAGATGCTGATTAGTTACAGTTTGTCAAGTTTCTGCGGATGACGTGGCATAACTTTAGGTGGAAATGGAGGCAGTTTACCTCCACCTGAAGCAAGTCCATTTTCCGTAGTTTGAAGCATAGAATTGCACCTGTTGGGTAGTTACTTGAGAAAAGGAAGCCTTGTGGGAAGGAGAGTACTCTCTATGGCAAGCCTATCATCTGCCTGAAGCAGGACAAGTCAGCACGAGTTTCAGAAGATAAGCATGTAGAGAAGACAGGACGAGTGTGAGCTGTTGAATGGCAATTTGGGTTTTTTTCTGAAGCGGTTACTATTTGCCTTTTTAAGGGAAAGGGTCCCAGAAGGTTTCAGCTCTCACCTGAGAACACCGGTCCCAGAGCCACAGTCAAAGCGGAACTCCACGTGGCCCCCTGCCATGTTGATGGACAGGAAGTCTTTGCTGCCTGTGTCATGGCTGTACAGGAGAACACCATCTCCTGAGTCTGGCCGAAATGTGATCTCAAACTCCGTGAAGGAAAGGTAATGCTGGGGCTCCAGTGGCCAGGGAGTTGCAGCGTAGGATCTCAGAGACTCTCTGAATTGAGGAATGGTCAAGATGAAAGCTGAAAAAACAAGCACAGTGTTAGAAATCAATCTGTGGCAGAAACTGGCCAGATGTGTACCCACAGCTGTGTTCTTTTCCTCCGGGGTACAGACCTAAACTATAATTCCCAGCGGCCCTGCAGTTAGGTTGCTGGTGTGACTGAATTCTGGCCGGTAGAATATGGGTGAAAGAATCATAGAGAACCCTAGGTGTGGCCCCTAAAACTTCCCTCCATCCTCCATGCTCCTCCTCTCCTCTTGTGTGCTGGCAGGATGCAGGTATCAGTGGAGGACTCTAAGGTCCTAGAAGAGCCATTAGATGGAAGGAAACTGTGTCCCTGTATAACTGTGTGGAGCAGAACGCCCTCTCTCACCACTGTCTCTGACCTGCAGTGATTTTGTAATATGAGCGAGAACCAGCCTTGACTAGTAAGGCTTCTGAAATATGAGATGGTATGTAACAGCATTGGCTTACCCTGACTCATATGCCCTCTTTTAGGTGACATGAGAGTTGAGATTACAAACGTTTTCCCCAGCATGGTATCTTAGGTCCAAATCTGAATTAGGGAAGAATTTGGCTAGTTTTGTGATCTTAGCCTCAGTTTTATTTTCTTTTCATATTAATTTTAGAATTCAGCAAAAATGATTTTCCAAAATCATTTTTGGAACCCTCCATGATTTTCCAAAATCTTTGAAATTTTTTGTTATTATTTGCGTGTGTGTGCACACATATGTGTATTTGTGTGTATGTGTGTTTCCATGTTTATATACACATAGTGTGTGCATGTATATATATTTACATACTCTCTGTACATACAGTATTAAAGTGTGGAATAATTTAGTAGAACAGTACAAATAAAGGTTAATTTTGTCCCATCACATTGCTAATGTTTCTGTGTCTACCTTCCCAATCCATTTTTTTTTCGAAGACGGAGTCTCGCTCTGTCATCCAGACTGTAGTACAGTGGCGCGATTTTGGCTCACTGCAACCTCCGCCTTCTGGGTTCAAGCAATTCTCCTGCCTCAGCCTCTCAAGTAGCTTGGATTACAGCCATGCACCACCACACCCAGCTGATTTTTGTATTTTTAGTAGAGACGGGGTTTCACCACGTTGGCCTCGTGATCCGCCTACCTCGGCCTCCCAAAGTGCTGGGATTACAGGCATGAGCCATCGTGCCTGGCCCCACCTTCCCAATCTTTTATCAGAAATTGACAGATATTCTAAAGAGCATGAGCATGAGCTTTAAATGCTTTGAATTCAGTCTGATACAAACCATACCAATACAGGCTTTTACTTGGGAGGTAGAGGCAGGAGAATGGTGTGAACCCGGGAAGCGGAGCTTGCAGTGAGCTGACATCGTGCCACTGCACTCCAGCCTGGGTGACAGAGCGGGACTCCGTCTCAAAAAAAAAAGAAAAAGTTACTCAAGGGCCAAGAGGGGCCTACTCATTCTTAGCATCTTGAAATGAACATATGTTCGGCTGAGGGACGGAAGGTGCCCTGCAGTAAGAAGTGCTGAAAGGCTCAACATCAGATGAGTGAGTTACCTTTACTAAACAAATTTTGGCAGTCAGACACTCCAACCTGGTTAAAAAAAGTTTCCCCCATCTCTCCCAACAAAGCAATGTTGATCCCATAAAAATGAAAGGGCTTCGTTAGCTTTGTTAAAAGTACATTGATGAGGCCTGGCGGGTGGATCACTTGAGGCCAGGAGTTTGAACATGGTGAAACCCCGTCTCTACTAAAAATACAAAAATTAGCTGGGCATGGTGGCACACGTCTGTAGTCCCAGCTTCTCGGGTGGCTGAGGCAGAAGAGAATCACTTGAACCCAGGAGGCAGAAGTTGCAATGAGCCGAGATGTGCCACTGCACTCCTGCCTGGGTAACATAGGGAGCTTTTGTCTCAAAAAAAAAAAAAACAAAAACAAAAAAAACCAACATTGATGATAAAGTACATCTACACAAATTAACATGCAGATAGAAACCGCCATCAACTTGCTTCTTTCTCACCGTCTTCACAGTGTCGACCTTTAAACCCAAGGGGACAGAGGCAAATGTAGGAGTCGGCTTTGATTGCTGTACAGGTGCCACCATTGACGCACGAGGCCTCATCGCAGATTCCACTGCTGCATTCCCCTAAATATAGAATGGGAATTACAAAGCCCATCCGCCATGTGTGCCAGTCCAACACAGTGGCACTGACCCCACCAGCAGCTCATGGTTCTGAATAAATACAGTTTAGTTCTTACTCCTGTTGATTTGCAGCTCTGCACAACTGCAAACAGGCTTTCAGGATAAGTGGAACCTGCTCTTCATTTTAATTTGATTTTGGTTTGTCCTGTATGAAGAGCCATAGAGACTTTAAAAAACATGATGGACACAATGAATCAAATAATATATTTCTGGGCAATTTTATGACCACTAACTGGGATGACTGAGCTGTTTCTGCTTTAATTCATCTCTCTGTTGCTCCCACAAGAGCATATTTCAATCCCTCCAACGTCAACAGGGTGTTTATGTTAAAAGCGTTCTAAATTGCATGACCCCAATTAGCTTAAGTGCTGCTGCCTTGTTGGTTCAAAGTTGAGACAAGCAAGGTAGGCACGGAAGGAGTTACCCAGCCACATCTAAGCAGATTAACTCACCTGGATTGTCAACTCCTCTGTCTGGGGTAGGGAGCAGAGAGAGAGGGCCCCATAATACGTTGGCACATGGGTTTCAGAATCCCTATTTCTACTTCCAAAGTTACACCCTGATGAGGGACAGAACGGTGGCCTGCAGTGAGAAGGCTGAAAGGCTTAACATCCGATGAGTGAGCTCTCTTCACCAAACAGATCAGAGAGATCCAGAAAGGGTATACTTTGTCATTTTCAAGTGCATGTCATCAGAGGAAAACAAATGGACTTTTCATGGGCTGTTTTTCTTCTGCTTCTTTGTGTTTTCTCTTTGTGTGTAAGAAATCAGTTAGACAGATGGACCACCATCTGGCCCAGAACCAGATGAGGGAGTACAAAACACTTTTTCTGGGGGTGGAGGTAGAAGGGCGTGCCCCTGGAAATGAAGGGTCCAGCTGTGCTCTCTCCCAGTCGTCAAGGCTTCCCTCTGCATGAGCTGGTAGCCCACCCTGTGAGGGCAGGAGCCTCCCCTGGCCTGAGTGTGTCATCTCGGCCGGATGAATCTCTCACCCTTCCCTCCTTGAATTGGTCCAGACTTTTCATAAAGACTCACTGGGAGGACGGGTAAGAGCCACGCACCCAGGGTAGACCCAGGAGAGGAGACTGACTTCAGGGACTGCTAACAGAATTTAATTAAAGCCCCTGTAGATGGCTTGCCACCCCAGCTGGGGTGGGCTAGCCTCTGTGAATTCCAGCTGGTGGCTACTGAATATTCAGGCAGACATGGCCAGTGGTCTCCAGCTACAGCTCTAAGAATGTCACCCCCAGCATTCGCAGTCTCCACAGAGATGCTGGCTGACTTCGATCTTAGAGAGCCAAACTCTCAAAGGTCCCTGAGCCCTGCCAATTTCTGTGGGTTGTGATTCCTTCCCAGAGCTTGGCTGGATCCACAGGAAGGAGCAGGGTCCTTGTATGTTATTTTAGATGAACAGAAAAGGATTACTTTACAAATCTTATGCATTTTAACTATTTTTTAAGAGGTGGGGGTAGGGTAGGGGAGGTCATGAAAGCCAGATGGAGTTGCTGACTTGGTGAAAGCAGCATTTCAGCAAGATTACTCTGGGAATGGCACGCAAGACAGACTGATGAGTGACAGGAGTGGAGGAGAGGAAAGAAGTCCTATAGGGGAGTGAACAGGGTGGCCACAAAGAAAATGGAGAGACTGTGAAGGATCAGACATCCAAGGAAGGAAGAAATGAGAGACTCATTGTAGTGGTCGAAGGGCAAGAAGATTCCTCCAGCACAATCTCAATATTTGTAGCTTGAAAGACTAAAAGAATGGTGCAGGAGGGAAGAAATAAGAGTGGCTGTGGACAGGACCTGACTTCTGCAAAGCAAAGGGAGAGGTTGCTTTGGTTGGATTTCAGTCTAAGATGACTGTGGAAATACTCAGTGCTGGTATCAGGCCTTGAAAGAAGGGAGAGAGGTTCCCAGAGTTTCCAAACCGGTGTGGGTACAGGGTCACACAAGGCATGGCACTTGTGTGAGCTGGAGAGAACCTGAGCATAGGTGAGTACGCCACAGCAGGGGCTCTGTGAACCGAGAAGGAAAAAATATTGCATCTGTATTTTGCCTAGCCTCTGCCTGGAGCTGGGTATGTATTTCCATCAACTTTCAATGCAGGCAAGATACTTCTAGTATTAGTAGTTCTTGCAACTTGTGACCAATAGACCTCACAGTTGTTGTCACATTCTATTTATTGCACATATTTCAAAGTATCATTTATACTTGTTGCTACTTTGAAGTCATGGGAGTTATTTCACCCACCATTAAATAATTCTGTTCCTTAATGCTTTACAAAGGAGCACATATATTACTGTAAAAGCAAAACAAAAAATATGTGATAGGGCTGTGTTTCAGTATAATTGTTTCCCCTTGTAATATTACATATATTATTTTTCTCCATTTAGAACATCGTTATGAGAAGAGGTCCATGGGCTTCCCCAGACCACCAAAGGGGGCTGCAGTGCACAAAAGGTTAAGAACCCCTGGGCTACTGAGAAGAGAGAACCCTGGCAGCAAGGGCCCAGGGAAGCCAGGAAGGGTCATTTTAGGGGGAAGCAGGTTCATTTTAGGGGGAAAACTCTCAACTCAGAGTGATGGGGAGGAGAGGTGGGTGCGACAAGGTCATGTATACACGGACCTCATCATCAATATGTAAAGTCACTTTCACCAGCGCCTACCACAGGCCAGCTGTTGTGTAGGTTTCTGCTAGATAAGAAAGCAAGAGGTAGAAGAGAAATAAGACTTCTAAGGAGGGGAAAGAATGTGGAACATCATTGGGTGGAGTTCCTTAAAGAGACCATGAACAAGGAGAAACTTCCCTGTCTCCAGCCCCCAATCCATAACCGAGGCCCACCTATTTTTCCCCTAATGATCTGTCAGATCTCTCTCTGTTTCTACCACCACTACCACCTGGATTAAACCGTCATTTGTCATGTGACCTACTGCAATAGACCTCAGCTGATCTACATGTATCCCTGAAAGCCCCTTCTAATGAGCTTTCAGGGGATCTTCTCAATTCACAAACTACATCAAGGCACCCATCCCCCACTTCCTCTTCCCTGGAACAAGCCCTTCCCTCGCCTGGAACGTCCTTCTCTCCCTTCTCCACATTTTCACTTCTACTCTTGCTTCATATTAACTTCCTCTTCTGAGAAACTCTTTCCCTGGCCCCCAAACCCTACAACCTCCCTATTGAACATCACCATTGCAGCATCACTTCTCCTTCATAACACTTACCCAAGGTGTAACTTCACCTTCACTGTGTGATTATTATATTAATTTGGTCTCTCCTCATGGTAACCATATGAGGACTGAGCCAGATCCTGCCTTGTTCATTACTTGATCTCCAGCACCCAGCACTGTGACAAGCACTAAGCAGGTGCTCAGTGAAGTATTTATTGAGTGAAATGAAGGAAAGAGCTGGTAAGCCAGGGTGAGACCCATGGTCACCACAGACCCCTTGAATCTCAAATCTGGGAAGTGGCTCTGTGACTGCTCCAGCAGAGTGGGGATATCCAAGACAGGACTGGCATAAATGAGCGGTGGAAATATAGGTTTGAGAATCTGAATGGAAATAATCAAGAGCTGGACCAGAGAACGCAAAATTTGCTGAGATATCTGACTAACTAGTGTAGAATGTGACTTGCAGAGAGCACAGGAGCTGGGAACAGTCTAACGAAAGACAGGAGATGAAGTGGAAGGAACTGAGTAATGAAAGGCCCCTCTGGGGAATGAAAACAGGTTTAGTGGGAAGGCAGAGAAAAAGTCACAGCTGAAGATGGCAATGCCAAGTTAGAGATATCAGATGGGAAACCATGACCTCCCTGGTGAGGCCGCGTTTGACTTACGAAAACTTGAATTTCAGGAGGAGTAACCCAAAGGACAGCAAACATGAAAGCTGAGGAAGGATAACCAGCCCCACTCTTATAACCCTGGGGAAAATGAAATGGGAAGAAATGTAAAACACCAACATGGCTGACAGGTGCCATTAACATTCACAGAGAGAAATCTGTACAGTAATCCAATAGCTGTATCCAGGGAGCTGGAGCCCACAAGCGAGGTCTTTTTGGTGCCACCTGCTGGAGAAGCGGGTATCACACTGTGTCGGAATGAACAAAGCTGGCAGAAATCAGTTCTTGCCCAACTTTGCAACCTCTGAACTACCTGTCAGAGGTTTCCATGCCATCTCAGGACTGCCAGGTTTATTCAGGGCTGTTCCCCTGAAGAAACAGATGATAGCTGGTTTGATGGGTAGGATTAGAATATGAATAATAATATTAATAACAGGAAATATTTATGAAATGTTTGCGATGTGCAAAACCCTATTCTAAGTGCTTTTTATGCACCACAACTCATGTAAACAAAATAATCTTATGAGGTAGATCCTATTTCTAGATGGGGAGACTGAGTTGCAAACATTTTTCAAATCCAGGCAATCTGCCTTCACGGTCCAGGCTCATAAACAAGGCATGTGATTCCTAATGGAATGGCTGGTTCTTATGTTCTGAATCATCACAGAGAGAAAACGGATTTTGGAGACATTGTTCTACCATAGTGACAACTTTAACAATTGTTTCAGTCATTGCTGCTTACTGTTTACTTTGACCAAGTAATCAATGGATGGTAAACGTTTTTTGTTAAGTAAACTGCATCTTTTATAGTTATAACAATGGCATCACCTATAGGAGTGAACAAGGTGGAGGGAAACAATTTGGTAGCCATTGATGTAGTTGATTTTGTTAAGAGGGTAGTCCCTGGTGCCAGTATGGCTGAGGTCACATTAGGCTCTACCACTTACTAGCTGTGTGACCTTGGGCGAGTTACTTAACTGTTCCGTGCCATTGGTTTTTTGTTTTGTTTTGTTTTGTTTTTTAAGACAGAATCTCACTCTGTTGCCCAAGCTGGAGTGTACTGGCACAATCTCAGCTCACTGCAACTTCTGCCTCCTGAGTTCAGGCAATTCTCCTGCCTTAGCCTCCTGGGTAGCTGGGATTACAGAGGCGTGACACCATGCCCAGCTAATTTTTGTATTTTAGTAGAGATGGAGTTTCACCATGTTGGCCAGGCTGGTCTCCAACTCATGACCTCAGGTGATTTGCCTGCTTCAGTCCCCCAAAGTGCTGAGATGACAGGCGTGAGCCATCGCGTCCAGCCCCATTGGTTCTTATCCGTAAAGTAAGGCTAATGATAGCACCCACTTCATAATAACCTTGGAAAGATCAAAGTAATTTAGAATGGTGCCTACTTAAAGTAGGTGCTCAACTAATATTAGCTACAAGAAAAACAAACAAAACAAATACTGTTCTAGGAGTCATGAGGATTGAATCCTACCTCTGACTGAGGAATGGGGAGAGGGATGAATTGATAATGTGGTCAAGAAAATGCAGCAAAATGTTAACGGTAGAATCTAGGCAATGAGACTATGATGTTCACTGTGCCTTCTTTCAAAACAACATCTTAGAGATGGAGGGAAAAGAGATTCAAGGAAGAGACTTTGCCAAAGGCAAAGTCATAAGGATGTGATGCTTAGAGTAGTGAGTGAAAAGGAGAGTATCCTAGAGATATCGATCCAGAGTCCTGATATCATAGAGACCCTGTTATGGACTAAACTGTTTTTCCCCCCAAATTCACAGTTGAAGTCCTAACTCCCTGTATTTGGAGATAGTATCTTTAAGGAGGTATTTAAGGTTAATTGAGGTCATAAGAGTGGGGACTTAATCCGCTCTGATTGGTGTCCTTGTAGGAGGATATTTGGACACACAGACATACCACGGGTGTGCACACACAGAGGAAAGACCCCTGGAGCACACAGTGAGAAGGTGGCTGTCTGCAAGCCAAGGAGAGAGACCTCTCCAGGAACCAAATTGGCTAGCACCTTGATCTGGGACTTCCGGCCTCCAGAACTGTGAAAAAATTAATTTCTGATGTTTAACTCGCCCAGTTTGCAGTATTTGTTATGGCAGCTCTAGTAGACAGTCCCTGAATTAACCAACCTGGGAATTATCTACCTGCTGCCTTCAGTGATAGAATAAACATCCTTATTGCTTTAAAAATAAGCTTAGCTCTGCCTGCTACTTTCGATAAGTTATTTAACTTCTGCAAGCTCCAGTTTCTTCATCTATAAAATGGGCATGATAATAATTTCTACCTCTTAGAGTTAGTGTGAAAGTAAAGGAGAGAGTGTATGAGAAAATGTTTGGCACTGTGATCGTGAATTAGAATTCGACCACTTCTTTAAGAAACAGAGAGTATATGAAAGCTCTTCTTACATTACTGTGTTAGCTCTTCCACTGGACTGGGTGAGGTAAGGTAAATGGGCTGGATTGCTTATTGCTTTGTCCAATAAGACCATGCCATATTTCATGATGAGACCCAAATTGCTAGCAAGACACAACCAGTGTTTGGTGCACCATACTGTTACCGTATTTTGGTGTTCAGATGCAGAGTCAGCATGTCTGCAGAGCACCAGCCTCACCCCTGGGGCCGACCTCCCTCCTGACGTTCTGCAGGTACCAGCTTCCCAGGGTAGCACCTAATGTTGCTGTTCCCTCCATGGGCCAAGCCAGAAAGGCAGTCCCATAAGACATATGTCCCATAAGACTACCCCAACCCACTGGGCAGCCACTTACCCACATCAGCCCCGCTGAGTGCTTTTCCCAGGGGCCAGGGCCTCATGTCGATTCTCCTCCCATTCACAGCGAGTGACTGCACACAACCTTGAAAGCCTCGGTTTGTCCCTGTTGCTCTGACCAACCAGTAAGCGCTGGGAGCGCCACCAAGATAGAGAGGTGTCCGGAAAGTAATTTTACTGTATTGGCCCTTTAAGAAAGATGACCACTCATGAATACTCTCACTAAACAAAATTGAAAGCCAAAACACACCAGATTTTTACGAGGGACATGGTTAAGACGTCAGTGACAGCTCCAGCGTTTTCTTCCATCTGTATTTATCTTTAAGACCTTGCCTTACTGGAAAATTAAACCCACGATTACCGTAGGGAACTCAGTGAGTTTCTCAGAGGGCTGTGCTTCCAGAAGGGAGGATTTTGGAATGTCTAGAAGGGAAGGGAAGGGAGGTCAGAGCCACGCCTGACCCACCAGGCAGTGAACCATGCTAGGCATCCAACAAAAACGTTCTCTTTCCAGTCCTGACACCAGCTGACTGTGTACTTTGGAAGGATCTTAGGGCTATTCTGTGCCTCCAAAGGTGATAATACTAATTTTGTATACAGTGGGCTAATAATTACCTTTTCATTGTCCTAGTCACCTTTATACTATATCCTGAGAGAAACATTGTTGGGGTCGGGTGGGGTGGGGGGGGGAATTACCAAACAGATCATGATGCAAAGTGTTTTGAAATTTGCTTATGAATATGACTCTTTTTTTTTTTAAGTGTTGTTACAGTGAGGTAGGAAAATTTCCCATCTTAGACCAAACCACAATCTGGATTGCAGGTTTTAAGGTTACAAAATACAGAGCTGAAGATTAGGTGGGACAAAATTAAGTCACCCTTGGCCTTTTTTTTTTTTTTTTTTTTTGAGACAGAGTCTTGCTCTGTCGCCGGGGCTGAGCCATCTTGGCTCGCTATAACCTCCGCCTCCCAGGTTCAAGCTATTCTCCTGCCTCAGCCTCCTGAGTAGCTGGGATTACAGGCATGTGCCACCACACCCAGCTAATTTTATATTTTTAGTAGAGACTGGGTTTCACCATGTTGGTCAGGCTGGTCTTGAACTCCTGACCTTGTGATCCACCCACCTTGGCCTCCCAAAGTGCTGGGATTACAGGCATGAGCCACCACACTCGGCCTGGTCATTCTTTTTTTTTTATGACCAAAATATCTCATTCATCTGCATTATAGGGTAAGGAAGGGTGTCAGGGAAAGGCACACTGCCAGAACTTATAAAATGTTCAGAGTGTAAGACTCTGAAACATAATTACGATCCTTTAAACTTCTGTTACCAGCAAGTGGAAAATCTAATCATTGTTTTATCTTTTCTGATGAAGAGATAAGAATCATTTGTAAATAGCAGACTGAACACAAGTTAGGATATGGGTTTTCAGGGTCAGTTACACTGTTTGCCAGCCACTGAGCATGCTGCTTTCATTAGATGAGTTAAATGTCCTCTTGGCTTCTTTCACCAAGATTCTCTGAATTGACTTCTTCTGGATCCCATCCTGGCCCTTCCAGTTTTGTTCCGTGATCTGGGGCCACAGCAGGAGGCTGACGGCTCAATCCTTTTCTAGAGCATAAAGTGCCTTGTAGGGGTGGGTGGCTACTTTGCTGCGCCCTTCGCAAGATCCCCGGCAATGGTCTTCAAACCTGGCTTCAGATAAAGGTTGCCTTCTGATCCCTGGAGCTTGCTTTGCCTGCCTCTACAGAGAAATGGAAGAATTCACATTCTCCCAGGGCAGCCCTTAACAGTTTGGGATGAGTCTGAGGCATAATTTACACTCCGGAGCTCCTCTACTGGATCAGGCAGAAACCATACTCTGAAAAACTTGGCCTGAGATCTCACTCTTGCTGATAACCTCTTCTTCCCTGTCCGTCTCCTCTCTCTCAGCAGTTTCTCCTGGGAGCACTTTCTTAATACATCACTTGCATAGGACTCCACATCTCAGGTCTGTTGCTGGGGAATCTCACTATCTCTCAGGACAGCTTATTAAACAGCCACACTCGTGGTCCTGCTTGACAACTTGCTTAGCGAGTCTCGCTAGTATGGAGGCAATCTTCAGCCTGAGTATCCATAAAGCTACATGCTTCTTGCAATTAATTCCTTTTTTAAAAAAAGATGGTGATATGGCTTGGCTGTGTCTCCACCCAAATATCATCTTGAATTGTAGCTCCCATAATCCCCATGTGTCATGGGAAGGACTCGGTGGGAGGTAACTGAATCATGGGGGTGGTCACCCCCATGCTGTTCTCGCGATAGTGAGTTCTCACGAGCTCTGATAGTTTTATAAGGCGTTTTTTCCCCCTCGCTCAGCACTTCTCCTTGCTGCTGCCATGTGAAGAAGGACATGTTTGCTTCCCCTTCCACCATGATTGTAAGTTTTCTGAGGCCTTCCCAGCCATGCAGAACTGTACGTCAATTAAACCTCTTTTCTTTATGAATTACCCAGTCTCGGATATTTCTTCATAGCAGTATGAGAACGGACTAATACAGATGGGGTCTGACTATGTTACCCAGGCTGAAGTGCAGGGCTATTCACAGGCTCAAAGATGACCCACTGCAGGCTTGACCTCCTGGGCTCAAGCGATCCTCCCTCCTCAGCCTCCCAAGTAGCTGGGACTACAGGCGTATGACACAACACCTGGCTAATTTTTCTATTTTTGGTAGAGATGGGGTTTCACCATGTTCCCTAGGCTAGTCTCGAACTCCTGAGCTCAAGTGATCCTCCTGCCTTGGCTTCCCAAAGTGTGAGAATTATAGGTGTGCGCCACTGTGCCTGGCAATTAAATTAATTCTCTTTTTTTTTTTTTTTGAGATGTAGTCTTGCTCTGTAGCCCAGGCTGGAATGCAGTAGTGCAATCTAAGTTCACTGCAACCTCTGCCTCCCAGGTTCAGGTGATTCTCCTGCCTCAGCCTCCTGAGTAGCTGGGATTACAGGCGCCCGCCACCACACCTGGCTAATTTTTTAATATTTTTAGTAGAGACAAGGTTTCACATGTTGGCCAGGCTGGTCTCGAACTCCTGACCTCAAGTGACCCACCTACTTCAGCCTCCCAAAGTACTGGTATTGGAGGCATGAGCCACTGCACCTGGCTCAATTAATTCTTACATTCATTACAAACATAGAATCTTGAGATTTACAAAAAATATAAAAACTCGTATAATTCAAACTCTCTCACTGGCTGTTGGATTCCTGCTACATCCCTAACAAGAAGTTTAGATAAGTTACCCCTTGAACACTCCCC